CGAAAACTAGAGACAGAACTTCTTCAGATCTCACAAGGCAAACATGAACAATCAATGCAAAATTTAAGAAAAAATTAAAATGTGTAACACAACTGTGTGAAAGAAATCGCCGGCCAGAGGAGGAGGTTAGGGGTGACACAACAAGGAAGGGGGGAAGTGGTCGCTGGCCAGATCTGTCATTGGCGGAACACAGCCCCTGCTAGGGTTTCTAAAAGCAGGGGAGGAAAACTTACGAAAAAGAGAAGAAAGAGGAAAGAGAAAGGAGGAGAGAGCGAGATAGAAAAATAATACACGCGTATTTAATGGTTTAAAGGTAGGAAGTAGCCATAAATAGATATTTTGTTATAAAAATTAAAAGGTAGCTATAGGAGATAATTTTTTAAAAGAGTATTTATTTATAATAAATAAGGTATCAACCTTTGCTATATGAGGTAAAATTTCCTAAAATAATCTTTATCTGAGACCTAAAGTTCAAAAATAGCCATTTTTGAACTAGTAATTAAAAATTAGCCACAAATTCAAAAATCGTTAAAATAGTCTTTTAGTTTGGATTGTTAACTTAAAATAATCTTCTACCCGAAACGGTGGAATATTAGTGGCTAAATTTCAAAAAAAGCAATTCTTTGGACTTGTAATTGAAAATAGACATTGATTCAAAAGTCATCAAGAAATAATCCCTTAAGTTTGGACAATAACTTAAAATAATCTTTATTCGAGACTATGGAATATTAATAGATAAAGTTTTCAAATATATCTATCTTCTGGACTTGTAATAGAAAAATAATCTCGGACTCAAAAGTCATTAAAAATAGTCCTTTAAGTTTGGACTGTCGTAACTTAAAATAATCTTTATGCAAGACGGTAGAATATTAGTGGCTAAAATTTCCAAATATATCTATTCTCTGGACTTGTAACAGAAAAATAATCACGGACTCAAAAATCATTAAAAATAGTCCTCTAAATTTGGACTGTAACTTGAAATTATATTTATCCAAGACGGTAGAATATTAGTGGCTAAATTTCAAAAATATCCATTTTTTGGACTTGTAATTGAAAAATAACTACAAACTTAAAAGTTATTAAAAATGGTCCTTTAAGATTGGACTGTAACTTAAAATAATATTTATCCAAGACGGTGAAATATTAGTGGCTAAATTTTAAAAATATCTATTTTCTGGACTTGCAATAGAAAAATAGCTACCGACTCAAAAGTCATCGAAAAATAGTTTCTTAAGTTTGAACTAAACTTAAAATAATTTTTTTCCAAGGCAGTGAAATTCTAGTGGCTAAAGTTCAAAAATAGCCATTTTTCTGGACTTGTAATTCAAGGATAGCCACAAAATAGCTAAATTTTGGAATTCATGACATTGTTATGGATTTGGAACTTTAAAATGTGAAACTTCATGAGAGTATCTTGGATGAAATCCAGGATACTATCATGAAATTTATTTCTTTTCTTTTCTTTTTTGTTTGAAATCCATGACACTATCATAGATTTTGAAAACCAGGACAATATCAGAGATTTTTCACTTGTTTAAGTTCGATTCCACATGATAGTAGTGTTTTCACTTCTAAAATGATTAAATTTTAACAAATTTTTAAATTGTCTATTTTTTAAACCGGTCCGAAGATTGACTAACGCGTACAACTTTTACAAGATTAGTTGTGTTTCAATATGCAAAAGAATGGTGTGACATTTTAAAATTTAGTGATGGTCTTCATGTCAACGTGCAGCTAATTTAATTCATTGATAAATTCTAGGAGTGAAATGTACGGAAAAAGTATAAGAACTTTCTCATGCTTTAGTCTTAACCCTGGCCAAGCCCATTTCTTATTTCACTATACAATCTGCAAAATATAAACTTTAGGAAGATAATAATGTAAACATTTCCATATTATTAAAAAAAATGATAATATCCAACAAATACAAAATCTTTTGCCATGCTTAAAGCTAGAGTTCTTGAATTAAGTTGCTCTGGTCTGAAGTGCAACCAAAGACGCATATACCCCTTGAGGATTGTTCATGAGCATATCATGTGTTCCCTTCTCAGCAACAACACCATTTTTAACTAGTGCAATAACATCTGCATTTTTAACTGTCATTAGACGATGTGCAACGACGACAGTTGTTCTATTCACTATCACTCGATCTAACGTTTCTTGTACTATACGTTCTGACTTTGTATCAAGAGCGCTAGTCGCCTCATCAAGTAGAAGTATTTTCGGATCTTTCAATATGGCCCTCGCAATGGCGATTCTTTGCTTTTGTCCACCGGATAATTGAACCCTTCTTTCTCCAACTGTTGTATTATAACCATTAGGCAATGAAGATATGAAGTTATGTGCATTTGATGACTTTGCTACTGAAATGATTTCC